TGTGGCACGGTCACGTGCAATAGCGACGTGGCAGGCAACGCGACGACGCAACAAATCAGCTGACCGATTCAGAGAACGGGGACGGACGGAGGCAAGGAAGAGCAGTGCACAGTAGTAGCAGTATCCAACAGAGAAGGGACAAGCAAAGGTAGTCAAGCAGAGAAAAGAAAGAGCAAACGATGACTCGACAACACAGCGTGACGCAAATAAAGTGGATGACTGACTCCGAGTGGGGGACGCACCATGTCGCCTAGCGATCAGGACGGAAGTGAGGTGCCTTGTCACCCTCGAAACCGGGACCGACGGCCACTAAGCGACGACTGCGAAGCGGCACGGATGTACGATGGGGTAGATGGATCAAGAGATGAGGAATGCGCCACGATCACCAACGGCGACATGACCCTGCGCGTAGCCCATGTCCCGACGTGGCTAACCAGCATGAGATTAGGACGCGATAGCGGCAGCGGGACAACCCGTCGAGAAGCGGCGTCGGCAGCACGGCCGCAGAAGCGAGACTGGCAACAAGGCTAGGCGTGCACACAGGTGTCCATGAGTGTGTTGTGTACGTGCGCGGCGTGCGTGTGTGTTGCCGTAATTTTAACATGCCTAAACCGAATTAGTTTCAACAACTACGCATTTCATACACTCGTCTATACGTCATACTAACTCGTAGAAACAAAACACCTAATAACTAATTAAATCGTTGCTCAATATAATTCGCCAAAATTGACACTTTTAACATAAGTTAAATTTTAAAATCCGAGAAAATCATTTCAGAAATTTTCTTAGGCATAAATCTCGGTGCTAAACAAGATTGTAACACCAGGGGTGTTACACGACCTTAGGGTCAGGCGAGACTTTTTAATACGTCTTGCCCCATCCGGGAAAGTCAGCGTGGGCGCTAACTTCCTTGCTTTGGGTATCTCTAATATCGATACCCGATACTTGTCTTGTTGGAAGGCAAGACCAACAGACTTATTATTAATCATAATTCAACATTTACTATTACCAAAATGGCAATTATATCCATCATCATCTAATCTTAAAATACTTATCAAGTTTCTACGCAAAGAGGGTACATAAAGAATATCTAAAAGCTGAAGTCTTAAACCATCATCTAATTCTAGAGAAAGATTTCTAATGTCTTCAGCTTCAGCTTCAACTCTATTTGCAACTTTAATTCTTCTTTCTCCTCTTTGCAGAGTTCTCCTCATACGGAATCCCTGTAATAAATTTGTAATATGAATAGTCGTACCTGAATCAATCCACCAAGTAGATTTTGCATAACTTAAATATAAGAATTTATCTATGAATGTAATGAAATCCTGACCTCTCTTCAAAAGGCTTTTCAGGAAGTATGGACAGTCCCTCTGGTAATGTCCACGCTGCTTGCACCATTTGCACTGATCTTTTTCAACTTGGGCATTGTTGTTTTTCTGATGGTACTCAGTCTGATGGGGTTTCCCTCGAGGTTTGGCATTCTTATTGAAGTTCTTCTTTTTGTTGTCCTTCATAAGGTTAGCAGAGTCACCCTATGAGCTTTTCAGCCTCTCTTCTTCTTGAACACACATTGCAATGAGCTTCTTTATATCCCACTTATCGGGCTGCATGTTGTAGTTCATAACAAAAGTTTCATATTCTTTAGGCAAGGAAGCAAAAACTAAATGAATAAGGAACTCATTCTTGAGCCCCAAATCCATTGGCTTCAGCTTCGAAGCCGTGTTGCTCGTCTTCAGTATGTGCTCTCTGATACCGCCACCAATGTATTTCTCATTAAACAATTTTTTGATCAAAGTACTGGCATAAGCCTTTGAAGAGCCAGTGAACTGACTTTCTACTTTCTTAAGATACTCTGTGGTGGTATCACAATCTGAGATGGACCCCCTTATAGCATATGAAATTGTGGACTTAGCCACCATCAAGCACTTGCGGTTTGAAATGTCCCATTTCTTACATTTGAGATCATATTTCATCCGCACTTCTGCATGATCTCGCTACCGAGTAGTGAAATCAGCATCAGACTTATTTTCTTTCCTCACCGGGTCCACTGGCTTAGTAGGACATGAGAGAGGTAAACGCTAGGTCATTTTCAAACAGCGCAAGAGCTAGTTCATACTTCTCTCACCATACCCTATAGTTGCCCCCTTCAAGAGACGGTATGTGCGAGATAAAAGCCATTGGGTTGAGTCCTGAAAAACACCGTCAGAGATAGTGAGAAAAGTTGACATAATAATTGCATGTCTTAATTTAACGTTGGTTAAAATTAAAACATACAACATTTTTATACACTAATTCTACATCACCGTTGGGCAGAAATATAATTAATGCATGAAAAAACTTATGAATAAACATTATAATATTGCTATTATCAACGTTGGTAAGAAAAATAACAATATTATAATTTATTAAATAAAATTTTACTGTTATTCAAATTAAATTCTCTCGTTGGTTTGAATTTAATTAGAAGATAATAAACTTTAACCTGTGCAGCGGAAACATGAAAAAATTCTTTATCTACTTTTCAGAAGCATTTTACTGTACTCATCTACTATCTGAAAAAATCATCCCGTTGGTTCAAAATTTGACAGAGATTTAAACTACACAAAAAATCATCAAAATTTGCATCTGAAAATGAATAAAATAATAACATAGTTTCTACTGTTCATTTAGCACAGCCCGTTGAAACAGTGCTCAGCCCAGCGGCAAAATGCCGCCCGCACGCCCTCGCTCACGGCCCAGCAGCGGCCCAACACAGTGCGCATGCCTGCTCCCCTGCGCCCAGGCCATAACCTGGGCCTGGGCCGCTTTTGGCCCGAGCGCTTAGAGCCATTCGATCAGATCAGACGATCGCCCGTCCTTATCGCTCGCATAAAAACGCCAATCGTGGCTGCGCGCTCGAACCCTAGCTCATTCTTCACTTTCTCTTCTCTCTCTTCACCGCGACGCCGGCTCTGTCTCCCACTCTCACTCCGAACCACGACGGCCCGAGAGAGAAGCATGGTGGCGCCGCCGTGGCACCCTTCGTCGGTGCTCGCGTGCGTCTTGATCCGCGTGCGGCGCCGTCAAGCGGCACCATGGTGGTGCACTTTGCGCCCCCACACCGCTATGGTGGAGCACGACCCCAAACCCTAGATTTTACCAGTGCCGCCGCAGGTCCCCTTGCCGGAGCGCGCGCTCCCCAGTGGATGAGCGCGCCACCGTCGAGCGGTCCTGTGACAGTGCCTTCGACTGGGCTTGCTTGCACGGCGGCGAGCATGACTTGGCTTCTCCCCGCGCGCCAGCGAGACGGCGGTGGAGTTCCTTCATGCGCTACGGCGGGATTCTACCCGCGCGACGGCGGTGGTGACGCGTGGCAGAGAGTCCGGGTAGGTCCTTCCCTCCTTCGTCCTTACTCTAGGGCTAGGGTTACGGTTCGGGGTTGGGGTCCGATCCTTTTCTTCAAATCGAATCCCCTTTCTATTTCTTGTTCTGATCTACTCCAAGAGCTATATCTACGCCTAGTTAGGCGCTTTGATACCATTGTTAGTTGCATAACTGGATCACTAGTCATAAATCTAGCATATATACTGACATCTGATTGAATAGCAAACCCTAGAACATGCTTGTGCGAGAAACAGAGAGAAAGAGAGAGGGGGGTTGAGGAGGTGCAAACCATCGGCCGCCTTCGTAGAAGATGAGCTTGCCATGGGGTGCTTGTCAATGGTGCGGTGAGGTCCGGCGGTGAAGTCGCGGACGCAGTGGCGGCGGTGGCCGGTGGCGGTATTTCCGTCGTTGGCAACGCTCCCTCACTAGATCGGTTTAGGGTTTAGGGACTATAGATGGGGCGTTTGGTGGCTCGGATGATTCTTATGTCTGATGCCCCGCCCTCACCTTCCTTTTTACAGTACCGTGCGACGTGACCCTACCAACCATGAAACGGTTGGACGTCATTGATAAGGACACGGATCAAGAGCCCAACGGACCAATGGGTAGAGATCGATCAACACCATTGTGCCAACGCGGCGCTCGCTGATGCCGCGCGCACGCGACCCTGCAGAGGTAATGAGCAGCCTCGCCAATTTTTTTTTTTTTTCTATCGGCGCCTGGGCTACACCCGCCGCACATCCCCCTCGGATGCGGGTCATCAAGGCGAGGGAATGAGCAGATCCAGTGGATCGTTTCCTAGGGCCACGTTTAGTTGCTACAGTATCGTTTTGTTTTTATTTGGTACTAATTGTCCAATCGTTGACTAATTAGGCTCAAAACGTTCGTCTCGCAAAGTACAACCAAACTGTGCAATTAGTTTTTGATTTCGTCAACATTTAGTACTCCATGCATGTATCACAAGTTTGATGTGATGGAGAATCTTCTTTTTACATAGTGACAAATTCTAGAATTTGGAGGAACTAAACACCCCCCCTAATGGATGAGCTCGTTGTCGGCGCGGATCTCATTCTTGACGAATCTGATGGGATCATAAAGTTAGCTGCTCGGATGTTCCTGAATTCTGAAACATCGGTGGGTGGCAACGTGGTATGGGGCAGTATAGAGTTGATGTCTGTGTGACATGGGAAGCCTGTAGCGTATTGGAAGAAAAGCCAGGTGATGGCACATTTGCTGCGGAAAATGGTTGGTCAGGCAACGTGCGAAGAGCAGCGTCATAAACACATGTGGATTTGTATGCCACTATAGTTTGAGGAGGGTCCTGTAGGTGAAAATAAAATGGAGCAAGACAGTAGAGTACGATCAGAGGAAAAGATATGACGATTACAGAAACAATTCTGCAAAATACGTCAAGCACGCCAAAAGCCAAAGCACATCGTCAGACACGGCTCTGAAAATCTGAATAGTCAGAAGCTACTGGCATTTCCCTTGGACAAAGTTAACGGAAGGTGGCAGCGGCAGTAGCTCTGAACCACCATGCCCTACAACTAACTGCTCCACTAGCATCTAAAAACTGGATTAGCACAACGCTTTCGAAGGGAAATAGCGCGAGATCACACCACTGCACCAGCGCAGCGCTACAGAAAGATGAAGCATTCCAATGACACAAGCGGGTTCTCCAACGACTCTCTCCCGTCGTCGCCGCCGCGGCCACCTTGAACATCGCCACCGGCGCTGCCGTCCGGGACGCTGGGCTCGCTTGCCGCGGTGACGGCGTCGTCTTCCTGCCGGGAGGCGGGACGAGGAGGAGTTGCTGCCTCCTGTGCCGCCCGCCGCGGCGAGACGCGGCCGGACGGCCTTGCTGGGACAGGCGGCTTCCGCTGCGCCTGCACGGGCGCAGTTGGGCTGGCGGCGCGGCGGGGCTCGGACGCCGCCCGCTTCGCCGCCGGCGACGGCGAGCGCCGGACGGAGCGGTCCCGTGGCACGTGCCGCGGCGGCGGCGGGGACGCCGACGCTCGCGCGCTGCGGGAGCGGACGCCGTAGGAGGCCGCGGCCGCCGCGGCGCGGTCTCGCTCGCGCCGCGCTGGGCTCAGATCGGCGGAGACCGGGCGCCTCCTGGCCGGCTTCGTCCCCGGCGACCGCTCCGGCCCGGCCACCGAGCTGGTCGCGACCGACCACTCCGACGCCGCCTCGGACCGCTCGTCGGTGGCGAGCGACAGCGACACGCAGCTGCCGAGGTCGCTCACGCTCACCGCGGCGTCGACGCTGTCCTGCTTCTTCTTCGCCTTCTCCACTTCCCGCTCGTCCGCGGCGGGGACGACAACATTATTGCCGATGGACTTGGGCTCGGCCCTCGGCTTAGCGCTCGGTGTCTCCGAGAGCACCTCCTTGACCGTCTCCTCCTCCGGCGACGGCGGGTCGCGGTCCTCGCGCTCGCACCGGCGCGGGAAGGCAGAGGCTCCCGCCACCGGACGGGTCTTGCGCTTCTTGCTGAAGCAGCAGCCCATGTCTGTGTCTCCAGCTGCCGCGGACGCACTAAGCAGCCATCGCGGTGGCCGTGGTCTGGACTCTGGAGTGTGGTGTGTGGGAGACCAGTGGGAGGGAGAGAAGTCAGAAAAGCAATGGGCGGGTTCTTGAGTCCAGCACGGGGTGCTTCAAGCGGGAGGAGAGGAGGCTATGGGTGATGGTGATGGACTGATGGGAGCGTGGCGTGGGGGACTGGTGGTCGAAAGTGGCCAGCTAGTCTATGAGGTCTGTATGGTAGAGTAGGTTGCTGCTGGCTGGCTTGAAATAGTGGCAACCGGCCAGCAAGGTACAGTACTATTGTCTGACAGGAGTACCTGTTGATACAATACTGTTTGCTTGTTCGTACCGGTGATGCTTATTTGATATAGTATTTTTCTCTCATAACAAAATAGCATCAGTCGGTTTATAAGTCATAGAAACGATCAAACGAACAGGATGACAGACTAAAAACAGTGGCGACCTGTTTATGAGTAATGGACCGAAGTTGGCATGCATCGTACGGTAATTCGTACTAAGACTGACTTCAACAGAGCAGGCATAGCGTGATCCAAATCTAAAATGGGTTGTTCATAGTGTTTTATCCGTGTTTTACAAGCTCCAACAGTCTACGTAAACGAGTGACGCATTTTGGGTGTAAACCGACGCGGGACGCAAATAAGCGTCCTCTCTCCGTCCTTCTGCGTCTCCCGTTGACCCCGACGGCACCGATGTGGATGCACGAGCCGAGCGGAGCACCCAGACAACGGCGGCGGCGCTTGTGAGAAAGGCGACGGAGGCGAGGGCGGCGTCCACTGATCCCGATGGCACCGCGCCTCGCCAGATCTCGCCAAACCCTAGAACACAAATCGAAGTCATAGAAGGGACGAATCAGAGAGGCAAAAGCAAAATCCCAAAATACAAAGAGGAAACAGAACACCTGAGACTGCTCTGTGCCAACCGCGGCACCGCCGAGACCCACCGGCACCGGGCACGAGCACCATGAGCGACCACAACAGGAGAGAGGAAAGGGGAAGATAAGGATGAATGGCCTGCAACGCCATGCCTCTGCCCTGCCCTGCGTCGGTCGCGCCACGGCCCGGTGGTAGATCGAGACGGAGGGAGAGGGAGAGGAGAGGGGGGCCGCCCGCGCTGCGCCACCGCCGCCGCGGCGCGCCACCTTGCCGGAGGACCGCCAGCGCGGTGGGCCCGTACGATGCGCCTGCACACCGGGAGAGGGGGAAGAGAGAAAGGCGGCACGCCACGCCGAGCCGGGCTCGCCCGCCGCCGGGGCCCACGACCACGTGCAGCGCAGGGAGGCCGCCACGTTCGAGACCCGCCGCAGCGCCGCCACCTCGGGAGAGAGAGGGAGAGGGAGAGAGGAAGGGGAGGCGACGGGAGCAACGGCGACGTTTTTGGGTCGGCTGTTGGAAAAGCGAAGTTTTTAGGTCCGTGACCTTCTCACTGTGGGCTACCCAATCCATCGAATGCCTCTCGTTTTTAGGTCTGGCCTGTTGAGACAGTCTAACATACCAAATCCAGTAAACAAAATACCTCTCAAAGATATTCAAATTAATGTGCTTGTTAAGGTTCTGCCTGCCGTACTCCCTCTTTCCTGTAGCATAGTGTATTCTAGGATTTTAAGATAAATTAAGAGTAAACATAAAAGACGCATTTTCTGTAACACAGTGTATTCTAGGATTTTAAGATAAATTAAGAGTAAACATAAAAGACGCATGTACTCTCATTTTATTTCCTAATCAGACGTTATCATCAACGTGATTAATGGTGATTGGTTGATAAATAGAAAGTGTTTAATGTAAAATTGGTTTTTGTCCTCTAAAATGCATTATATTTAAGAATAAATTTTGAATGCTAGAGTACACTCTATTACAGGACTGAGGGGGTAGGAGTATGTGATGGAGAGAGGCCAATGGTGCAACTTTAGCACCATCTTCACTACTGGAACTTATAGTAATGCATTATAGTAAGAGAGCAACGTTACCTTTGTCAAAACAATCGACCATTGCTTCGAAATTAGACATTGGTCTTCCTAGCAAGATCAGCTCTCTTTCAAAACTAAGCTTTGTGCAGCTATGCATGGTTATGTATTTGTATTCCTATTTGTCCTTGTATTTCTCATGCTCTGCTTTTCGATATGTCTTCTTACTACTTCGGTTTTCTAACTTTGATGTAAGACCTTAGAGCATCTCTAAAAGAGCAGAGCTCCTACTAAATGAAAAGACAAAATTTGCCACGAGTGTGGCATCAGGGGCCGTTTGGTTTCTGGCCACTACCAGCCATGCAGGTTATGGCGCTATCACAGAAGTATGGCGGAGAAAAAAAAGCCACCACAACTGTCATGAAAATCTGCGCACAAATGAACTGGAAGGGGTGTGTGGCTGCCACAGCTTGCAGGCAATCCAAACGCCAGCTAAGATAACGTGGAAGCCACGAGTTAGGTGTGGCGAGCGCTGGGTGATGCTAGTTCATTTCGGCGCCGCGGCTCACCAAAAGTTTGGCGCATTTTTTGCTCGCCATACTTGCAGCACAGCCACAACTGGGCTAAGGCAAGTAGCCGAAGCGCCCGAGCAACACGTGTGTCGCCGTGTGTACACACTCGATGCTGGGTGCCGTCGGTTCGGCTCGATCCAATGGACGCTCTTCCGGGGGTGGGGGCCGAGGCGGTCTCGTTGACTGGTGTCCAATGGAGAACAGCATGCTCAGGGATTCTCACAGAGTCACGCGAGGTTCAGGCAAGAGGGGAGTGCGCAGAAATAGGGGTTGTGGTCTTGCCGGCACGAGTGATGATCTTGGCAGCGGCACAACGGGCACAAGATATGTAGGGAGGCGACAAAAACGAAACCATCACCCCAACCCGATATCGGTGGTTTCTTCGTCCCTTGATGCACCTGCACGCCAAGGCATCTTTTCTTCGCCGATTTCTCTATTTTCCTTATTTTTTAATATAAAACACTTGTCACATCAGTAAAGAGTTACTCCCTCCGTCCAAAAAAGAATGTAATTATGGCATCCGTACCGATCAAAATAGCTTAAATTTAACCAAGTTTATAGCAAATAATATTAATATTTATGTCTCCAAATAAATTTATTATGAAAATATATTCTATGAATAATCTAATGATACTAATTTTGCATAACAATGTTAGTATTTTTTATATAATTTTGGTTAAAATTCAAACTAGTTGACTTCTTGGTAGCGAGAATTATATTTTTTTTATGGACGGAGAGAATACATAGTAGGATAGTTAATACACATAAAAACTATACTAATTTTAGGATTGTGAGTGCCTTAGCTATGTTTTCGGCCATAAGACGTACTTCCTCCGTCTCCTAAATGTCTGTCGTTTCCGCTTCCCGAGAAACAACTTTGACTAAATATATATTAAAAAATATTAATATTTATGACACATAATTAGTATCATTGATAGATATTTGAATCTAGTTTTTTTAATAAATTTATTTGGAGATAAAACTATTGCACACATTTTCTATAAATCGAGTCAGTTATCGGCACGCAAATCGTGGCGACGAACATTTAGAGACAGGAGGGAGTACACCAAATTGCTTTGCCCTCATAACATAGGGGGATCTTTGTTTCTAAGAGTATCCAAAAGTAGTTCCTAAAAGGATTAAGTCCACTTTTGGCTCCTCAATTATTGTGTTGGTCTAATTTTAAACCTCAACTACAAAACCGTCTAGTACCGGTACCCCAACTGTCAAAACCGTTCACTTTTAGCACCTGGGCGGTTTTGACCATGCCACGCTGGCGCTGACCGCCACGTAGGACGCTGGCCTGCATCTTAGCGACATGTGGGGCCCACGCGTCACCCCCTCATTCCCTCTCTCTCCTTCCTCTGGATCCAGCAGCTCCAGTCGAGCATGGGCGCCTCGCCCTCGCCGCACAGCCGCGTCCTCTTCGCGGCGACAGGTTGAGGTAGGGCAGGCACCGAGGAGCACGACGAACTCATGCATGTCGGCCGGTCGATCTGCCGACTAGACTCAGCGTGCGCACGTCTCCCTGCGTGCTGCGCCACCGTACTTCCCTGGTCCTGCTTCGCTTCTCCGTTGGTGCGAAGGTAAAGACACCAAAGCTGGTCGTGGCTTGCTGAGCTGTGGACTGCGGTTGCACTTGCACACCACGCCCTAGCGCGGCGCCGTGAGCTCTCACGCCTACGTTCCGTGGGATGGACTCCGGAAACAGTGGTAGCCTATAGTCGTCCAGCGGCGGCGACGACGAGTTCGACTCCAGATGCGGTGCCAACTCCTCTCCGCCTTGCTCCGGCAGCCGCCGCCATTCTGTGCCGGTCTTCGACGGTGGCTCCTTGATCTACGGCCTCTAGGAGCTCCGCACGCCGCCGCTGTCCCACTGGTGCTCGACAACGGCGTCGCTCTCGGCCAGCGCAGAAGCCTCGGCCTCGCCGCCGTCGCTGTCTGGCCATGGTGCACCTACGGCGGCCACTGCAGCGACCGACCAGGCGGACGCAGCGCCGGCCCAGGCCGCCACGGCGGCGTCGCCACGGGGGTCGAGGAAGCGAGCACGGGCGTCGCGCCGCGCGCCCACCATGGTGCTCACCACCGACACCTCCAACTTTCGTGCCATAGTGCAGGAGTTCACCGGCATCCTCGACCCGCCCTTCGCCGGCGCCGCAACGATCGCGCACTCCCGCTTCGACCACCACCTCTTCCCCTTGCGTACCGCCACCGCTGCCATCGGGACCGTGAGCCCCACCATGCTCTCGCAGTACCTCGTCCGCCCCTTCGTGCACAAGGTCCAGGTCCACGCGTCGTCGACCCCCTACCCGCCAAGCTTCACCTCGCCCTCGACGTCCTCACCAGCGCCGACCAACATCTCCATTGCGCCTGCTTCCACCACCACCACCGGCACGATGGCCGTGGCGTCGTCCAGCGACAGCTACCACCAGCTCATAGCCGCCTCGGCATCCGCTCTTCTCGGGATGCAGCAAGATCACAGAAGCAACAACTACCACTCGTTCCATCAGAGCTCCTCCCTCGGCGACGGCAAGTACGCGACGCACCCAGTGTTCGACCGCGGCATAGCGCCGCTGTCGTCTTCCGCCACGAGGCTGCAGGACCCGGTGGACTTCTTGGGTCTCACACACGACGTCATGTTGGGCTCCCAAGGGCCGCACGTGCACTTCCACCCGCGCAACAGCGTCGACGTGCTAACCGGCCTGGTCGGGGGCACGTCCGTCACCGGGGCCGGTGGCTGGAAGGCGACGTATTCTTTGATGCGGCCTCTGCTGGAGCGCAATCGGCGTAACCCGTCGGCCGACGGTTCCACAGCGATGACGGTGACGGCCCCGGTGGCGGCAACGGCGGGCATGAGAACACAAGCAGGCGAGGGCGAGGCGCCCGTGCTCGACTGGAGCTGCTGGAGCCGAAGGAAGGAGAGGGAGGGAATGAGTGGGTGACGCGCGGGACCCACAAGTCGCTGAGATGCAGGCCAGCGTCCTACGTAGCGGTCAACGCTAGCGTGGCCTGGTCAAAACCGTTCAACGTCGGTCAAAACAACCTTGCCCTCGCACAGGTGCTAAATGGGAACGGTTTTGACAGTTGAGGTACCGGTAATATACGGTTTTATAGTTGAGGGTTAAAATTAGACCAACACGATAGTTGAGGCACCAAAAGTGGACTTAATCCTTCCTAAAATCATTGAGTTTTTTAAGTTGCCAAAAAGCACTGTGAGCATTAAAAAAAGGCTTCTCCAATAGGATCCAAAAAAATCACTCCCAAGAGAGTCTTCATATGCTTCCTAAATGCTAGGAATAGAGATGTTGATGAAAAACAACTCTCCAACTGCTTTTCTAAATAGTCATCCAATTATAGCCATCTTCTATATCGATTTTTTCGCTAGACAAAAATAAAAAATGAGATTTTCTCTTTGGAGTGTGCATGAGATACAGAAAAAGGTTGGAAAGTTTAAAGATATAGAAAACGATTTTTATGCAAATGATTTTTTAAATAATAATTTAGAGAGTGAGATTTAGAAAGTCTTTCAAAGATGCTATGAAACATGGCTCCGTTCGCGTGCCCTTAAACCCGACTTGATCCGCTTCTTTTTTCATCCGGAACAATATTTTTCTCTCACAAATTACTCAAGCATTCCTCCAAACCGTCCATATTCCTCCATAATTCCTCGAGCGAACAGCCCTGAAAATTTGTTCCGACTTGGGGCCTGTTTAGATGGCGAATTTTTTTGCAAAATGCACTATAGCACTTTTCGTTGTTATTTGGCAATTAGTGTCCAATCATAGTCTAATTAGGCTTAAAAGATTCGTCTCGTCAATTTCGTCTAAACTGTGTAATTAGTTTTATTTTTTATTTATATTTAATGCTTCATGTATAGCGTCAAAGATTCGATGTGACGGAAAATCTGAAAAAATTTGGCAATTTTTTCTGGAACTAAACTGGACCTTGGAAATTTCGTTGCCACGGCAGGTATCTTTCGCAGGAGACCGCGCGGGAGGGCGAATCACCGTCGCCGACGCCTAATGCCAAGCCGTGGCCGCTCGCAGCACGCACCTGCCGGCCATTAGCTTCCCAACCCTCCGGTTCCGAAGACCGAAGGTACTGTAGGAATACGTGACACACGGTACTGGTACGGCTCTACAGAACCTAGGAACAGGTTCAGCATCCCATCGGCCATGGCCTCGCCCGCCAAACTGCAAATTCCGCGTGGGAGATGGCGTGACCATACGACCGATTCCAGCACGGGCCAGACAAAATTTTCGGCCCAGCGAAAGTTGTTTCTAGTCCTGTCGTCCTTGTTAAATTAACTCCGGTCCATTTAGCCGAACTCGGGTCCGTGAGAGGTTGTCAAGAGGAGAAAACAAACTCGAGTCCAAGATCATCATCCAATACAGGCTCGGCCCACGGCGGCACTGCCAGTTTGTTCTTTTATGTAGGTTCAGGTTGTATTGTATCATTCCTTTTTTGCAACTCTAAAGAAAGAGCCGTACCCTTGTAAATTGCAATACGAACAGGAGAACATGCAACCATCGTTACTTAATATGTATTTTTTCAATAAAAACAAACTACATATATATAAAGTCACATAGGCTTACTAATATATATGAGAAGCTAAGCTGACATATATGAGATCAACAAACTCATCACAAGTAGGAGCAATGTTGAAAAATAGTAGACTATAGCAGTTAAGTGTCGTCTTCACATATCGAAGAGCCAAACATAATTAACTCTGACCAAATATATACAAAATATTACTAATATTTAAGGTGTTTAATAAGTACCATTAGATTAATCTTAAATATATATTATAATATACTTATTTTGAGATATAAATGTTATTAATGTTTTCTATAAATCTAACAGAAACATAGGAGACACCTAAAAAGAATAGAGGGAGTGCTTTCTAAGTGTGTAGATCAGTACCATGTCGCAAGTGCTCCATTGAGGTATGATTATGTCTAAATTTGGTCATCAAATTGTTTTCTAATGGCCTAGTAAAAATTAGCCGAGGTGCCCAATTAGTTAGCCAACAATTTAGTTTAAAGTTTGGCTAAAAGATGAACTTACCATTAGGTATTAGCCCTTCTTCTATTTAGATGGACTAGAACTAAAAATTAGGTGATTAAAAAATTAACCCTATGCACCAAACAGAACGACGCTAGTCAGACTAGAATCTTTGCCTAACAAACCACAGTTGCGTCATACCGAAGAATTTCTTTTTAAGAATGGGCATCATGTACAGTAGCCACCCGTCAGGCCTTCATCAAGGAACGCTGAGCACAATCATTGTCATTCGTGCTGACCACGTGTCACCGCTCGGCTGTCAGCCCCCGACGGCACATGCCGCGGTGGAAGCCGTCCCTCTCTCCTCCACGCAGGCTGGGGGGACCCACGCCGCCCGTCCTCCCCGCGGCGCACGAAACCAGCACGGCATGTGCCCGTGCGCCACGGCCTCCGTCCCCATTGGCGGTAGGAGTTGCCTTCCTTGCCACGTCACGCATGTTTTACCTTCCGCGGCCGGCCGCACGTGTCCGGTTGAAAGGTCCTAATGACTAAAGGGGGTGCATAGCCTATTAAGAATTTCTACAACAACACTTAGCAAATCGGTTAGATAATTATGAGGCGAAGCAAGTGTTGCGCTAGCCTATTAAAATTATAAGCCACCTACCACAATTCTAGTTTATATATAGTTTCTATCCACACAATGATTATGTCACTACACTAAGTTAGTGCGCTCTCAAATACTAACTAAAGAGTCACACTAATCAAACTAACAAGCTCTCACAACTAGCTACACTAAAGAGCTTGACAACTAGTTTGTGGTATTGTAAAGAGAGAGAGTAAGATAGTTATACTGCCGTGTCGAGGAGTGAACCAATCAATCACAAGGATGAATACCAATGAAGACCAATCACCTCGGAATCAAATAATGACACAATGATTTTTTACCGAGGTTCACTTGCTTGCCGGCAAGCTAGTCCTCGTTGTGGCGATTCACTCACTTGGAGGTTCACACGCTAATTAGTATCACACGCCAAACCCTTAATAGGGTACCGCACAACCAACACAAGATGAGGATCACACAAGCCACGAGCAATTCACTAGAGTGTCTTTTGACTCTCCACCGGAGAAAGATCAAGAACCCCTCACAATCACAACGATCGGAGCTGGAGACAATCACCAACCTCCGCTCGACGATCCTCGCTGCTCCAAGCCGTCTAGGTGGCGGCAACCACTAAGAGTAACAAGCGAATCCCGCAGCGAAACAAGAACACCAAGTGCATTTAGATGCAAACACTCAAGCAATGCACTTGGTTTCACTCTCAATCTCACAAAGATGGTGAATCAATGATGGAGATGAGTGGGAGAGCTTTGGCTAAGCTCACAAGATTGCTCTGTCAATGCAAATGGCCAAGAGAATGAGCTTGAGCCGGTCATGGGGCTTAAATAGAAGCTCCCATGAAATAGAGTCGTTGTACCCCTTTACTGGGCACTGCTCGGGGTGATCGGACACTCCGGTCAGATTGACTGGACGCATGACCCCAGCGTTCAGTCGACCGATGCTTGCCACGTGTCATCAGCTTCAAACGTTAATCGCCCGATCTCAACGGTCATCAGTACATTTAAGTAGTGACCGAATGCGCCGCTCAAAGTGATCGGACGTAGGACCCCAGCGTCCAGTCGTTTCCAGTAAGGTTCCACTCGCGACTGGACGCGTCCGGTCTCGCCTGATCGAATTCACTCAGCGTTCAGTTAGTCACCCTCTTCTCTGTGTGTTGCCGCATCAGTAGGACCGGACGCACCCCGTCAACGTCCGGTCGAAGACCGACGTCAGCGTCTTCACTGCTTCCACTGATCGGACGCACCGGTCCAGTTGAAGCCAGTGTCCGGTTCACTCTGTGAAATCCTATCTTTTTTGTACAGGGCGCCGGTGGCACCATCGGACTGTACGCACTCCACGGGCGGACACTCCGATGGTGAAGTTTCTTACCCTTGCTCCCAAGTGCTAAACATAATGTGTATCACCTTTGTGCATGTGTATTCGCATATTTTCACAAATATTTTCAAGGGTGTTAGAGCTGCACTATATCCTAAATACATATGCAATGAGTTAGAGCATCTAGTGGCACTTTGATAACCGTATTTCGGTACGAGTGTCACCCCTCTTAATAATATGGCTATCGAACCTAAATGTGATCATACTTGCTAAGTGTCTTGATCACCGAAACAAAATAGCTCCTACCACTTATACCTTTGCCTTGAGCTTTTTTTGTTTCTCTCTTACTTCTTTTCCAAATCTAAGCACTTGATCATCATCATGGCATCACCGTCATCATGTTATGATCTTCATTTGCTTTGCCACTTAGAATATGCTACATATCTCATGAACACTTTGATAAACTAGGTTAGCACTTAGGGTTTCATCAATTCATCAAAGCCAAACTAGAGCTTTCACCGGTGTCCCGCGTGATCGCTTGCTTCCGTTGCGGGCATTGCGTGTTTTCCTTGTTCGGTTGCTTGCTTCGAATCGTTTGTGCGCGGGAGGCCGGGAGGGGAAAGAGGGGGGGAGGGTGGACCGGAAACTAGATGAGAAAATTATCTGTATGGCCCCGTGAAATTAAGTTATTCCTTGTATGGCCCTGCAAACTTCGAAATTTCTTGTATGGCCCTGTCTTCGAATTTTAATGACCCATATCACACTACCGTCAGTTTTGGACCCCAACACGTTAAGTGCCATACGAATTATCCATAATACCCCTGTTACAGAAAAATGCGCTGATTACTTGTATGGCCCTGCTTGATCTGATGTTTACAATATTACCTCTATGACACTGAGTATTTGTATGGTTTGTTTTGACATTAAAATTCATCCACATTATATTATAATTTAGAAATAATTTTGTTATGATAATATGCATTATCTAAGCTTTGTAATTCATCC